TATAATGTCCAACTTTAGTTATTGCCCTCTGGTGTGGCATTTTAGTAGTGAACAGAATTGTAAAAAAAAAAAAAAAAAAAAAAAAAAAAAAAAAAAAAAAAAAAAAAATAGAAAAAATTCAAGAGCGAGCACTAAGATTTATATATAAAGACTATACAAGCAGTTATGACCAGCTACTACTAAAATCAACAGAGAAATTCCACATACAATTTTAGGTACCAAAAGACTCTGGAATTACCTAGGCCAAGAACTACAAGAACCGCTATGCGGCTGCTACGTTGTGGAACTCTTTACCAAACCATGCTAGGGAAATTTCCACCCTCAACCAGTTTAGAACATTCATTGACACATGGAGGGGGGAAAATGCAAGTGTAGTTCCTGCAGAAACCACAGCGTGGGGGCAGCGTAGTTGATGAGACAATATTCATTTATTTATTCATTTATTTTAGAGTCATAGTCTTCTATTTTTGCAGTTTTTCATTTACTTTTGAAGTCTTTCATTTGTTTTACTGATACCACCTCATTTTATTCTATTTAATTTTTCTAAGTTTCTTTTATATCTATATATTAAACTTTGTTATTTACTTAAATTTCCAATAATAAGGACCCTGGAGAATGAAACTTTTGGAGTAACATCCTATGATGGCAAAAGTGTAAGCTCTCCAGGATCCTAGTTTCTTTTATTTTTTGCTTTTGATGTCTGCTTTTTCCTAATCTCACAACAATACATATCCTGTCTATGTAGGTAGGGACTGACCCAATCACTAGACATGATGTGTATTGGTGAGGAACGTCAATTATTTTTGTTTTTTATTTTGGATATGTTGTATCTGCTTGAATTTTTAAGTTTCTAAGCTATCAATTTTATTCTTCTATTATTAATACAATTAGTGCTTTTTAATCTGATTCTATGTGTTTAATGTAGTACTTTATCCAGTGTGCTATTATGATGATGCTTACTTTTTATTTTTGTTCTTAATGCAATCATTTTGCTCTTCAGTTTTTTTTTTCTAATTCTTAAATTTGTTTTATCTGCCATGTGTGTGTATATATGTACATGTGTTTTTTGCATGTCAATTTATGTTGTAAATGTCTTCTCTGTAATATTTTTAGCTGAGATAGAGCTCTACAGAGCTCATGTTCATTGTTAAACTTTGTAAAAAATGCCGACTTTAAATAAAAGTTACTTACTTACTTACTTACTTTCAATCTTGGTATTAAATGTGTAAGACCTAAGTTATTACTACTTATTGCACATTTATGTACAGGTTAGACAATAAAATACAAAATGTCAGATCTTATGTATTTTCGGATGACAAAACGAAATTGACATGGTACAGTTTATCTATCGGCATTACTTTTCCCAGAATGCTTTACTGTGAAGTCGAGCATGCGTATTCCAGTAAAAAAGGCTCACGTAGTTGTTAATTTGAGAGCGCTAGCAATAAGGAAAAAAAAACTAAAGACCAAAAAAGAAAAAAAAACTATCGAATTTTCATGACTGTACCTATCAATAAAATTGCATGTTCAAACTTAAAAAGATTAGAATTTCTACACATATTGTTTAGAGATAATTGAATATATAAAGTCATAAGAAAAAAGGTCTACCTAGACATTTGATGAAAATGTAACAATTTTAACTTTATGATCGAAAACTCCAGTCTGGTAAACAAGGCTACCACGACCGACAACTCGTCATTGATACATGTAATATGTTCTAATATATATCTTATTTTGTTAATGTTGTAAGACTTACCCACTGTTTGGAAAAAAATAATAATCAGGTTTAAATAACAACATCCAAATTTTCTTGGATCCTCCTCCCCGAATCGAAAATTCAGACTTGTACAACTATGCAGATGACAACACCTTATCCAAATCACATCCTATCTTAAAAAAATGTTATTACTACACTTGAAAAGGAAAGTGGTACTCTCATCGACTGGTTTTCGGTTAATAAAATGCAGGCAAACCCAGAAAAATTTCAAGCAATAGCTCTGGGGAAAAAGACGCATGATAAAAACATTACTTTAAACTTAAATGGTACAACTTTTGCCTGTGAGGAAGAAGTGAAACTGCTTGGTGTTACTTTTGATTTTAACTTAAACTTCAATTCTCATATATCAAATATTTGTGAGAACGCAGCTCGACAATTAAATGTGTTAAAACGTGTCGGGAAACATCTCTGTAAACTGGGTAAACTTACCATCTATCATTCCTTTATAATGTCCAACTTAAGTTATTGCCCTCTGGTGTGGCGTTTTAGTAGTGAACAGAATTGTAAAAAAATAAAAAAAAATCAAAAGCGAGCACTAAGATTTATATATAAAGACTATACAAGCAGTTATGACCAGCTACTACTAAAATCAAACCTCCCCTCACTGAAAATCAGGCGTATGAGAGCCATGGCCCTCGAAGTGTTTAAAAATTGTAAATAAACAAAGCCCATTGTTCCTGCAAGATTTAGTTCAACAGAGAAATTCCACAAACAATTTTAGGTACCAAAAGACTCTGGAATTACCTAGGCCAAGAACTACTAGGTATGGAAAACAGTCTTTCAGCTATGCGGCTGCTACGTTGTGGAACTCTTTACAAAACCATGCTAGGGAAATTTCCACCCTCAACCAGATTAGAACATTCATTGACACATGGAGAGGAGAAAAATGCAAGTGTAGTTCCTGCAGAAACCACAGCGTGGGGGCAGCATATCTGATGAGACAATATTTATTTATTCATTTATTTTAGAGTCATAGTCTTCTATTTTTGCTGTTTTTCATTTACTTTTGAAGTCTTTCATTTGTTTTACTGATACCACCTCATTTTATTCTATTTAATTTTTCTAAGTTTCTTTTATATCTATATATTAAACTTTGTTATTTACTTAAATTTCCAATAATAAGGACCCTGGGGAATGAAACTTTTGGAGTAACATCCTATGATGGCAAAAGTGTAAGCTCTCCAGGATCCTAGTTTCTTTTATTTTTTGCTTTTGATGTCTGCTTTTTCCTAATCTCACAACAATACATATCCTGTCTATGTAGGTAGGGACTGACCCAATCACTAAACAGGATGTGTGTTGGTGAGGAACTTCAATTATTTTTGTTTTTTATTTTGGTTAAGTTGTATCTGCTTGAATTTTTAAGTTTCTAAGCTATCAATTTTATTCTTCTATTATTAATACAATTAGTGCTTTTTAATCTGATTCTATGTGTTTAATGTAGTACTTTATCCAGTTTGCTATTATGATGATGCTTACTTTTTATTTTTGCTCTTAATGCAATCATTTTGCTCTTCAATTTTTTTTCTAATTCTTAAATTTGTTTTATCTGCCATGTGTGTGTATATATATGTACATGTGTTTTTTGCATGTTAATTTATGTTGTAAATGTTTTCTCTGTGATATTTTTAGCTGTGATAGAGCTCTACAGAGCTCATGTTCATTGTTAAGCTTTGTAAAAAATGCCGACTTTAAATAAAAGTTACTTACTTACTTACTTACTTACAATCTTGGTATTAAATGTGTAAGACCTAAGTTATTGCTACTTATTGCACATTTATGTACAGGTTAGACAATAAAATACAAAATGTCAGATCTTATGTATTTTCGGATGACAAAACGAAATTGACATGGTACAGTTTATCTATCGGCATTACTTTTCCCAGAATGCTCTACTGTGAAGTCGAGCATGCGTATTCCAGTAAAAAAGGCTCACGTAGTTGTTAATTTGAGAGCGCTAGCAATAAGGAAAAAAAAACTAAAGACCAAAAAAGAAAAAAAAAACTATCGAATTTTCATGACTGTACCTATCAATAAAATTGCATGTTCAAACTTAAAAAGATTAGAATTTCTACACATATTCTTCGGAGATAATTGAATATATAAAGTCATAAGAAAAAAAGGTATATCTAGACATTTGATGAAAATGTAACAATTTTAACTTTATGATCGAAAACTCCAGTCTGGTAAACAAGGCTACCACGACCGACAACTCGTCATTGATACATGTAATATGTTCTAATATACATGTATATCTTACTTTGTTAATGTTGTAAGACTTACCCACTGTTTGGAAAAAAATAATAATCAGGTTTAAATAACAACATCCAAATTTTCTTGGATCCCCCTCCCCTAAATATAAAATAAATTTTCATAAACACATATCCCACATGTTCGCAAAATTTCATTGTATTGTACTCACGGTTACGCGACAGATGTTCTAGTTTTGATTTTAAAAATTGAAGTGCAAAATGAATTTGTGGTTCTAATTATAAGCCTCTTCATTTCAAAAAGGAAATAAAGAATGCATTTTCACAGATACAATGCTTTGTTATGAAATATTCTGGCATGAAGTAAGAAATTCAACCTAAAGTGGAGCTCGAATAACCATTCAGCATATTTGCTTTTCCTGTAATTTATTTTATGTATAATTATCATTTCAAACATATATTGATCTTATACAGCTGAGACAACACTGCATTAAATGCCGGTTTGATGATACATGGAGGATTTGTCTTGTTTATATTTTACATGATATCCTCTGTACTTTATATTTTTATATGAAGAACAACAATGGAAATCTAAGAATTTGATCGATTAATATGGCACATTGAGATGTGATTCATTAAATAATAATGCTTATCGTATTTCAAGGGCCGTTTGCAGCTTTTTTTTATAAACCATTGTGATATTATCAAACTTTAATGAAGCGAGGATAAGTTTATAAAGCCTAAACTGCAGCATTAAAATTTAAAAGAAACCAGGTATATCGCATGTGCTTTGTGTACAGAATATTTTTATGTAAACATTTACGCATTTATGATTACTGGAAAAATACGACACTAAAGCAAATTTTGGATTAATTTTTGAATGGATGGTAGTTAGAACTGAAAAAGGTATGCATCTTAAAAGAAGATCATTGTTCGTTTTGTTGATTTTACTGGAATTTGTTTACATTTTGTCTTTCATATACCTTGTTCATTCCGGAATTGGTAATGAAAACATGATGTTGAACCGTAACAGGATGCAATCCGGAAGTTCCGAACAATGCCAATGGATGGCAACGGAAACATTATCTGTACCATCCAAATATTTTCATGCATGTGAAAAGGAAATTTTATTTTTTGACAACATGTTTGCAGTCATAAACAATGTTACACTACAGAATTCTAGAAACTCTAATTCCAAGAAAGGCGATTTTACACTTGCCCTGTTATATAATTCCAATCATTGTAAGAATCAGGTAGACTTAAGAGGACTACATTTAAAAGGTTCCATCCTTTCTTGGATGAAGACTATTCAGCCAAGTAATGAAACGATCTACAATAAAACCCTTTCTTCTCAGAGAATTGGCTTCCTCGCCTCAAGACACGATGTGAATAATCTATACCACACGATGACTCTGATTTATAATATTGTTGTTGCAAAAATTCTCCTACATGTCACTCATAATATAACTGTTGTTATATTTGTGGACACCCATCAGGAGAAAACAATTCTGCAGGAACTTTGGGAGACACTATTTCAGGAAGTCGTACATATAAAGAAGGCGACCGCCACACTCCACTTTGGTACATTGATAATGGTAAACTCTGGATATGACGGATATCTTAGCCACTTCCAGTTGCCACGTCTGCCATTCATTTCAGAATTTACACAGTTCGTTGCCAATAAATTTAGGATTTGCAACAACAAGAAATTAAATTGTTCTAGTATCAATATTTTGATTATATTGAGGCAAGATGGCAGGAATGAAGATGGCTCCGTTAAGGTGACTGAGCGGAAATTCTACAACGAAAGAAAGTTGCTATCAGAGATAAAGAAGTCACTCCCAGCACATAGGGTAAGAGGGGTGAGACTTGAAAGTTTCCCTATCAGAACTCAATTTTCGTTTATATCCCAAACTGACTTTCTCGTAGGAATGCATGGAGCGGGGATGACTTATGCTCTATTTTTACCAGAGCATGCAGGCGTGCTCGAATTGTTTAACGCGAACAGAGATACTGGAAATCTGAACTACAGAACAATTTCAAAATGGCGGAAATTATTTTATCGGGCGTGGCAAAATTATAGGGTGGAAGATGAATTTCCGAACTTTGAGACCCGTTTTCATGCTAGAATTATAAAGTATTATTTTCTGGAATACATTAGATTTAAATGCAAAAATTAATAAAATAATTAAGGATCCCCACTATACATTTATGAAAAATATATTTTAGACATTGAAAAAATTATATCGTCAAAAATGTAAATATTGAGTTTATTTATTTGCATGACTGTAATTCTCAACAAATGGTACTAGCTATTTAAACGAAGGAAAAATGTTCATAAAAGGTATACATGTATATTATTTAACAGAAATCACTTTCGCTAACTTAATTGTGGGGAAATTGTAAAATGCATAGTTTTCTTTTTTTCCCCTTCTCTTTTTAAAAATTTTTAATCTATAGGGAGTCACTATTAATAGCTGCCAAGAATTAGAACTCCTCAGTATGCATGGAGTGTATTGAGGGCCCTTATAAAAAATAATTGAAAAGTGGCAAAGATGTCTGTCACTTTATTTGTCATCTTGTTTTCGATAATAATGATTAAATTGGCATTTTTAATCTCCATACATACAACTAAGGCGTGCCAGGTTTCAAGATACATAAAGCTACATTAATAACCTGAATTATTGTCACAGAGAAATAAAATCATGCATATTTGATAGTGTTTGTAAGCAAAATATCGGGTAGAAAGCGCTATGAAGTCGATAGATCTAAGTGACGTTAGTTAATTTTTTATCATTGCTTAACCATAACACCAAAAACTACGTGAAATAATCTCCACTCCTAGAATTTTTCACCATAAAATATCACCAAAATTACATTCAGAAGAAAAAGCTATGGCCACGGACCTTCAAGATAGATGATACAAAAAAAATTCTTCAAAAATCATGAAAATAACAACTAAGGCCTTGTTTATATATTTATTAAGTTATTTGAAAACGCTTTGTTACAGTTTTTAATTTTTCATTCAAAGTTTCACATGATGTCCTATAAGTGGATAAAAAGTTGTATAGATTTATAAAGTAACAGCAAAAAGGAAGAATTCTGAACAGCATAGAAAGTTTGCACTTGTTTTTGAAATCTTTTATTTGCATCATTTGCAACCTAGGTCCAACAAGATGTGTTTGTGAAACACTATGCCCCCCGATGGTAACACAATTCTGGAGTGGGACGTAGACTACAGTGCAATAGTTATGGCCAATGTTAAAGTTTTTCAAATGTAGGTCAAACGTCACAGCTGAAGTCACATGATCAAAAATTTCTGTACCAATGGAAAGGTCCTGTCATAATGAACACTCATGTCAAATATTAGAGCCTTACCCTCACACTATATTTAACTGAATAGGGTTAGTCTCGCACCTATAGAGATATGAAGGGTAAGTCTTTGCACACTATTCGACTCTATAGGGTTAATGTATCATATAACTAGTAGTGTATCAGCCCTGATACAGGCGTATTGTACTAGGTGAGATTGCGTGCGGGACCTAAGGCTGTCTCGCCCTCAGAACTGAGATATCTTTATAGATATAAAAAATAACATTTAAAAAAAATCCTGTCTCACGAGTGAAATAAATTTCATATCCAACTACAAAGCATTGAACTTTCTGTTTATTAAATTTTCTTTGATTTCCCTTTGCCTCAGTCTTTTACAATGTCATAGACTGTGACGTCGTAGTTGAGCGGTTGAGACGTCATAGCTTAGCAACTGTTAGATTGAAAACGTTGTAATATGGATTTTAGCAACATATTTGGGAAGAAACTGGCAAGACTATAACTATCAAGACGGCTTAGTTATACTGTCTCCATCTTATGGCAGGTCAGAAATTATTTTTTACTTACTTTGATATCCTTTCACACTGTGACAGAATATTACTTTGGTATCCTTTCACACTGTGACGAAATATCACTTTTATTCACAGAATAAATCACCTTATTTCACTGTTGAGAATGTAATAAATATAGTCAGACTCTGTCGTTCTTTTATTTCGAGTTTATTGACATATGAAATATCAAGGTAGGAATGAAAATATATATATATATATTAGGGATGACAATTTGTAACCGGTTAATCTATTACTCGGTCGGAACAATGGTAATCTGTTAGAAAATCTGTAATCGGTTAGTCTGAAAAAAATTAAAATAATTGGAAAATTGACTGTCTTAAAATGCATTTCTGAAAAAAAAAAAAGAAACGTCTGCATAAATGTTGATAATTAAGCTTTTTTCACATATCTATTTAAGCTTATATGGAGGTAATTATGGCTCTCTGGATTGAGATCAGGGGTAACTGGTCAGTTTGTGAAGTGTTAATTACTGTTTTTAAAAACACCATGCCGTTACCCCGACTGTCCTGTAATTCTTTAATTATATTAAATAAATTGAGCACTGTGAATTGGTATGTCTATCTTTTGCCGTTATCTATTAAATTATATTATTAGACAAATATTGTACATTCAGTGAAAGTTCAGACAGTTTTAATTATGGTAACAGTGCAGAATGAACAAATGTGCCATCTGCTCTGGAAAATTACCAATATCTGATTTTACAGGCATGCATGTTTTATGTTTTTTTTTTAAAGTTTTTTCTTGTCTAATGAAATTGAAATGAAATATATGTAGTTTCCTCATCATGATAAACAGAATGTTTTTCAGCTTCTAACGTTATTTAGTCTTCTTGTGAATATGACTAGGTACTTGACAAAAATGTCAAAAAACGTGTACATTTGCATTTTGATATGATTAACCGACTAATCGGTCGGAACGTCTTGCGGTTAATCGATAAGCAATAATATTCTGTATTCGTTGACATCCCTAATATATATATATATATATATATATATATATATATATATATATATATATATATATATATATATATATATATATATATATATATATATATATATATATATATATATATATATAGTGTAAATTGATTGATTTATTGTACGTGGATGTGTTTTACGTCCCAAATTTTTCACTCACACATGTGTAGAGACGTCACCATATACCCGGTGAAGGGGTTCAAATTTAGACCTATACATAGATTTGAAGATCTTTCTTCCACGCGAAAATGTCCTTCCACCCAAGAGATACCCCCCCCCCCCTCAATAAATTTTGTTTCTTTACGATTTTGTGAAGTTTTTAAATCAATATTGTATAATTTAAATTATTTAATTCAAGTATATTATAAGAATTAATTGTAATGAATAATTTTGAAGTTAGAGGTTCTAACTAGGGATGGCAACGAATATTCATTCGATGAGTTGATATTCGAATATGAATTTAAGATTCGAATATTCGTTTTTTTCAGATTTCATAAAAAGAAGTACTGTGATTGATAAATTTTGATTAGAACAGTGCTTGGATTATCCCTGTTTAATTTACTAGCGATCAATTTCGATCGCCTGATTTCTTTCACTACTTTCTTATCTTATAGATCTACTAAATTATATGTATTTTGTTTTGAGTAAGGTGTTAAAGAATTGTACAATAATGCTTTATGTATAATACAAAACGTACTTTCATAGTTTTTGTTAGCTAGATATGATCGGATCTAGAATCGAGAAAAACAAAATGAAATCTTAGAAAGTCTAAAAGGCGTGAAGAGTATAAATTAATTGATAATTGAATGGATGTCCGATAGAGTTAGTCTGTAATTAATATTGTAAAGGGCTTAATTTCAGAATAAATGTGTAAATTACTTGATTATCTCTGGTTGTACATAATCCTGAATTTTATATTCATTATCGGGAAATTAGTTAATTACCTAGGAAAATTGTCTATGGAAATATTTGTTTACATTGTATCAAAGATTATAATCATATCTCTTATAAGGCAGATAATTGTAATTCATTACACGTATTGAAATCTGAACAGTATACCGTTGCCTTTAGTATGACGACTGGTTCCTCAGATGAAGCTACGATAAATACACATGTTTCATTTGTTAAAATTATACTTTTCTACATTTAAATCAATTATTTATTTCAGACATTGACAAATATCAAATGAAATTTCTTATTGTACACCTACAAAAGTCTTCATACAATTTTACTTCCAAAATAAGTATACCTACGCTTAGCCTTCCATGATGCATATTTAAAATAAAACATATTTTATTTATTTTATCGAATATTCGAATATATTCGAATACATTCATTGAATATTCGAATATGCATTATTGACTAAATTGACATCCCTAGTTCTAACCAAACTTTTCTCAAAAGTTGACGAGTGCCATTTGTTGGATGCTAACTGGGTATGCCTTTTACACTAAAAACTGTAGAACCAGTAGAAAATAAGAATCTCCGGATAAGTTGTTACACGTTCACTTATAGATAAAAAAACTTTATAAATAAGTCATCTAGTCAAGATTAGAGTTTTACAAATACATGTATTTTATCATGCCCCCGCCATAAAGTGGCCGGGGGCATATAGTATTACCCTTTACCGTCATTCTGTCATTCCGTCATCATTGACTTTCCGTTCATTATCTTGGCAACAGTTGCACACGTTCAACTCAAATTAGACATATGGATACGTCATAGGAATACGCAGGTCAAGTTCGAAACTTTGAAACTTTGAAACTTTTATTTTCACTAAAGCCCCCACATGGGGTATATTAGTACAATAAGAGTTTAACAACTGAACAAATCAACATGTGAACAGTTAAAACATAATGAACCACAAAAAGATCTTTGATATGGACAGTACTGACGGTTGTATAAAAAATCGTTTAATGTTTACATTCGAATTTAGTAATGATCTGATGATTTTTGACAGAGTTGTCCCTCTTGAACTTAGTAAAAGAATAAGAAATTTTCAGTTTCAGCTCTCTTACTTTTGACAATTGTAGGGATGTATATAAATGGTTGGGATTGCATATGCAGGTATTTTACCAGAAAGTTTGAATTTGGTCGTGGTCCGATGATTTTTGACAGAGTTATCCCTCTTGAACTTTGAAAAAAATAAGAATTTTTCAGTTTCCGGTCTCTAACTTTTGTAGGGATGTATGTATAAGGTTGAAATTGCATATATGTAGGTATTTTACCAGAAAATACAGGTCAAGTTCGAATTTGGTCCTGGTCCGATGATTTTGGCTGCCTACGGGGGTATTCGTG